TGCATACTTGGCACGTTAAGTGTCCAACAATTACCACTTTTAATTTTTTCATGCCTACGTGGAAAAACCAACTCAGCATATAGCACCATTTTCAATCCACGTTTGATTTTTTTGTCCCTCCAGCCTTTCTAAATAAAACAAAATAGTGGGCAAACAGGTCATTGTCTGCTTTCATCGATGCAGTCTCCTTTTCCTCTTACAAACTCTTCACTTTACTCTCTGTTTCCTTTGCCCCTTTGCCCCTTTGCCCCTTTAAGCCCTAGATCCTTTGTTCTTCGAAACCCCCTAAATCTTCTGGTAATAACCAGCAACCATTCCAGTATTTACTTCCATGTTTCCAACGGCTCAGTTTCCAGAAATCGAGAAAGCTTGCTTCCTGCAATCGATGATGCCTGCAGATCAAACTGATTCCTTCTTCTTCGACCCATAAATCCCCTAGAACCACTCTTGATTCCTTCTTCGTCGACCCCTAAATCCTTTTGTAAATCTCGATTCCTTCTTCTTCTTCGAACCTTAAAACCCCTGCACCTTGTCTTGTGATTCATTCTTCTTCAAACCCGAACCCGAAATCATCTGCATTTTTTGTTCCTCCTTCTTCCCGTGAACCCTAATCCTCTGCTATTTGTCTTGGGTTTGTGAGAATCATAAAATGGAAGCTGGTTATGCACGGAGTTTGGGTTCGGGTTCAGGTTCATTTGAGAGTGGAAGCTTTGCAAAATGTACAGAGTCCAGAAGTGGAGATAATAGATGCAACTGTGGGTTAAATGCTGTTATTCGGACTTCCTTTACTTTCCAAAGCATGGGTAAGAGGTTTAGATGTTGTCCTAAGAAGAAGGTAATTATATAATATCTGTATTTTTTGTCAGTGGTTTAAGTTTTTGTCAGTGGTTTAAGTTTTTCTCAATTGATTATTTAACAAGATTTTTATGTAGAATCCTTGCAATTACTTCCATTTCCTAGCTGGTGAAGAAAAAATCGAGGGTAGAGCCATGGAGTTGCTGCTGGTTTTGAAAGATAAAGAATGCAAAGTTTTAAAGAGAAAGAGAAAATAATGCAAGAAAAAGATGAGCTTTTGTTGGAAAATGGAAGATTGATGGAGGAAAATGGGAAATTGTTGACTGAAAATGGGCAATTGTTGCAAGAAAATCTGCAATTGAAGAAACATAGTGGATTAATGGATAGAAAGGTGAGTGTTTTGGAGAAGAAAGTGAAGAAGCTGGAGAAAAGATACTCAAAAGCTGTGATGATCAGTGAAGTGATGTGTTTGGTTTTTTTGATTTTCATTGGTTTGATTTCTGGTGTATTGCTACTTAGAATCACCAGATATTAGGCATGTGGGTCTTCGGTTGTGGTTTTTGTAATTCCATGTAAGAGATGGTTTTTGCTAGCTGGAATATATGTATTTTGGTTATTTTATCTATAAAAATTTGTTCACTTTGTTGGTTAACTTGTCATTTTCTTGCAATGGTCTAGCAAAATTCTACATGGTCATTGAATAAGAGAACAGAACCAAGACTAACAGAATAGAACCATGGTATCATCAACCTGAATAATAGATATTAATAAGATCCAAGACTAATACAGTAGCATTAGAAAAAACAGAACCATGTTTACTTGGCCAATAACAGAACAGAACCATGTTTAATTGGTCAATAACAGAACAGAACCATGCTTCCTTAGTAAAAAACAAACAAGAAAATGCAAAATTAACTTCATCAACACAGCATCTCAAAGGAAATTTGGCCAGAATTTAAAAGAAGACTCTTGTTGTTGGATTTGTTCATCAACCTTAAAAACCTCCAAGTGAAGCTTCTTCATTATTCTTCTTCACCATTTCCCTTGCTTGCTGCATCTGTCTTGCTTGTGCTTGCAGCTGCTTTGCAGTAATAAACTGGTAACCAGTTCCAACTTTCTCTGAACTGCCCTCTCCCTGAATCAATATTAAGATTTGTAAAATGGTTTGACTCCAAAGAAAAACAACAAAAATTGAGAGCAACCGTGTGAATGGTATGTGTGAACAGTATCTGGTATCACATGAAAAAAAAAAAAAAAAGTAGAAACCATGTAAATAGTACGCGTGAACAGTACCCGTGAACAGTATTGACCAAGAACAATTAAACATAAAAACAAACTAGAATTAAAATGCAACAAAAAAACTTGAAATAACTGAACTAATTCAGTTTCATGACATCTTGAAATCTACATTTCTTCAAAAATACCAGTAGAATATTGCATAATATACAACAATATTTATAAAGTAATAGTTAACATCAATGTTTTATTTATAAATTACCTTTTGCTTTTGCCTTTTTGCTGGGGTCTTGGCATTTTTTTTTGGATGCTGGATAGGAGTTTGAGTATCCCCTTCACTTGGGACAAGAGTTACTTCACTTGATAACGTACCATCAAGAGGAGGGGTTTGAGCAACTTTTGAAGACGAAGACCTTCTAATGGGGAGCTTGACTCTCTTGCTGGGTTGCTGGACAAGAGCAAGTTGCTGGACAGGAGTGAGTTGCTGGACAGGTTGCTGGATAGGAGTCGGTTGCTGGACAGGTTGCTGGATAGGAGTCGGTTGCTGGATAGGTTGCTGAACAGGTTGCTGGATAGTAGCAGAATTTGGAACCTGTTCTTCATTGCCATTTACATTTTGAGGGGCCTACATCAAAATTGAAAAAACATTATTACAACCTCAATAACAGAAAAAAAAAAAAAAAAAGCAAATTATGTATGTAGCCAATAATCACTCACAGTTGTGGGTCCTTGTTCTTTACATGATCTTGAATTATGGCCCTTTTTGAAACACTTTTGACAAGTCATCAATCTCCCTTTTTTACTCAATTTGGTCTGACCTTCCCATTCTTCCAAAACTCTCTTCCTTTTTGGTCTTCCCGGCATCTTTCTTGTCAATGGTGGTTGAATAGGGGGCATTCCAGTTTTTTTCCATTGACTCATTCCTTCAATGGCAGGAACTTCAAACTGATAAGAGGCTAAGAATGCCTCCTTTTTATAACATTCGGCTACATAGTCTTCCACCTTTTGCTTGGTGGCATTAATAACAGTAACAGCATGCTTGCATGGAATTCCTGTGAGATCCCAAGACCTGCAAGTACATTTTCTGTTCTCCAAGTCAACCACAAAACCATTTGTTCCATCTTCCATTACTTCATAGTTATTTCCACCAGGCCAAATTAATCTGCACCTCTTGCTTTCATGGACATTAGCTACAATTTTTTCCCATATTCTAGGACCGAAATCATCAACAAACTTGGACTCAACAAATCCTCTTCTTGCAACAGTCCTTTTTCCACAAAATATCCTCAAATCTTGATTCATTGAAATTATGGCTTTTTGTCTTGCATCCACTAATAAACCATTGAAGACTTCACACATATTATTATCAACAATATCACACTTTATATCTGTTTTGAAGAAGGCCCTGCACCGGTGTTTTGGATCTGATTCTAATAAGTCATTCCTTGCTGAAGCTTTTAATTTGGTTAACTCATCCAAAGCTTTGTTGAATTCGGCAATGGTATATGATTTCACACACTTCCAAAAAGCAATTTGTAATGCTTTGCCTTTGTTTTTCTTCTTGAAATTGCAGTATTTATGCCTAGCACAAAATCTGTGTTCAGCATAAGGGAAAATCTCCTTAACTGCTTGAATAAGTCCCTGTTAAATTGGTACAAGTTAGCACAAATGATTAAGTTTTTTAAATTGGAAAAAATATGTAATGAAAAGCAAAATGACACCTTTTGTTGGTCTGACATAATGTAGAATTTTGTTCCATCTCCCATTAGCAAATCCTTTTGTAATTCTTCAAAAAACCATAACCATGTTTCTGTTTTTTCAACCTCGACAACTGCCCATGCGATTGGAAACATTTGGTTGTTTGCATCTCTTCCAATTGCAGTCAACAATTCTCCTTTGTGAGCACCTTTAAGAAAGGCACCATCATCACCAATGATGCGCTTGTAGCCAGCAAGAAACCCCTTCTTTAAAGCACTAAAACATACATACATTCTCATAAAAGTGGGGTTAACATCTGTTGTGGGTCTATGAGCATGGAGAACAATGTTTGCTTCTGGATCTTTTGACCTCAGTTCATTAGCATAGTCAAATAGCATGCCATATTCAGCCTTGGAAGCACCTTCAAAAGTCCTTTTCAACTGCTGCTTTGTTTTTTTACATTGCACCGAAGTTAGCTCAATGTTCTTCTCATTCCAAATAGCTTGAAAGATGCTATCATAATTCATATACAAACAACTTGCTCCTCTAGAATTAACTAAGTGCTTAGCTGCATGGCGTGAAGTATATCTCTTGTTCACAACACCCCAATTGCATGTATGCTCTTGTTCAAAAGTTTTTACCATCCAAGAGTCTAATGGGCTGTCCTTTGCCAACAAAATCTTCCATCTGCGCCCTTTTTTCTTAGCTTCCTTGCATATTGCCCTCAACCTGACCTTGTCATTTTTCACCCATTTAATTTGTCTACCTTCTTTAAAACTCAACTCATCAACAGCTCTTTTAAACTGTTCCTTGCTAATAAAAATCATCCCAAGACCTATCACAGGCCAATCTTCATGTTCCTTGAATGCCGGATGTATAGCCTTTCTTCTTCTACCATGTTCAACTTCACTGTCATCCTCATCACTTGTTGTAATATAGCTAACATCATCATCTGATTGGATTGCTCCATCATCAATTTCTACTACTGCATCAATATGTCCTGTACAAACAAACCAAAATAAATTAGACACAATAGATATTAAAGGCAATAACTAATAAATTACAAGAAGAAATAGACAAACCTGCACCAATAGCAATACTAGAAGATCCCACTTCCACGATAGATTCTGATTGCTCATTCTCAGTGCTGGGCTTACCTTGAGAAGCTATGAAGTTTCTCAAAATTGTCCTAGCTTCAATAGTCTCCTCATCTTCATTATCCGACAACTCAGGGACATCTAGCACTAGTTCTACCATACCACTGTCTACAGTGACAATATTTAAGTCTTCAATTCCAACTTCATTGTGGACCCCACCAGCACCTCCTCCATCGTTAAATATTTCATTTTCTTCTTCTTCATTGCTCCAACTTCCACCAACCTCATTTACTACTTGATCTACATTATTTGAATGCCCAGTAACCTTTGTAAAAAAAAAAAAATTAATAACACAATAGAATAAAGATAACATCAATATTCAATTAAATAATGCAAGAATCTAAGCATATAGAAACAAATAAGTGGGACCAAATGTTGTCTCCACATTTCGACACAAACCCGACAATTCCAACCCCTATTCCACATCATACTGACATAAAAAAGCCAAACAAAAGTTACATTCTTCAAAAGATTCGCATAATCAAAAGGTAGAACATACTTGATCCTCGATTTCCTCCTCTTCCTGATCTCTGATTTCTGGTCCCTCACGGTTCTTTTCTCCACTTTTGGAGGACGGGTCCATGTATACAATCTGATCTAATTATAAAAAGTGATAAATTCTATCAAAAATTGCAGAGCTTTTAGGGTTTTGTTCCTGCAAAAGTGAGCTTTTCTTTTTCCAATGTGCAGTTCCCCACTGGTTTATTCAGAAAGTGGGAGAGGCGGGAGAGGCGGGAATCAAACGTGGATTGAAAATGGTGCTATATGCTGAGTTGGTTTTTCCACGTAGGCATGAAAAAATTAAAAGTGGTAATTGTTGGAC